GGTACGCGAGGGACGCGAGCCTGAGAGGCGAGGCGTCAAAGAGGCTTGAGGACGCGACGGCAGAAGTTGGCGTGAAGAAGCAGGAGACGCCGCAGGGTCTTGCTGTTTCGCCGGGCAGCACCACCTGCGCCGCCGCCGCGCGCTGGGAAAGGCGCGGAAACCACGCGGGGTGCAGGCACGCTGGTAGAGATCCCTGCGCCGAGGGGCCGGTTGAGAGTGCGAGACGTAGCTGGTATCGCAGGAAGATTGCAGGTTCATACCAGGTAGGGATGAGGCTCACAGACGTGGGCTTGCTGCAGCTGCTGGGAAGCACAATAACCACCCGAGCAGTTGGAGCTGGCTCAAGGCTTTGGATCCTGGATGTTTCATGCTACCATGTGCTTTGAGGTTGAGATAACTGGTGTCACGGTTGTCCCTAAGAAGCTGTACCTGTGGCCTTTAGCTCATCTGAACCTTTTCCTAAGGTGTTATTCATACCTGAAAAGAGGTCACTGCAGGCTGTTGTGGTAGTGAGTGGTGTCGGCAGATTATGGCAGCTTCCTAGAACGGCGTCCTACAGTCAGAGGTTTAGGATGGCGCTGCTAGGTTGCAAGAAAAGTGGAGAATTCTAGTGCCAAAGCTGAATAAGGTAAACAGTGAGCTGGAAGGACAACCTCGGTCCAGAATTACCCAAATTACTTGACAGGCTGGGAAAATTGAAACACGCCCAACGTGAGTAAGCTTAAGAAAAATTTTTGACCCTTCGCTTTCCTGGTGTTTGGATGCCATTTTGTTTGCTCAAGGCCATGAAGAAATGCTTCTAAGACATGGTCCACATGAGAGTTAATGAGTTAGTTAATGAGCCAGTAAATGCACTTTTAATTAGGTTCAACCATAGTAATGATCACAAAGCCTTTGGAGACATGAAGACCATCTGTAGCATCTGGAGTTCAGCAAGAGTGAGGAATGTAAGTACTAATCCATGCTCTCAGCATGACCAGCAGCAGGGTGCTGACTTCTTCAACAAGCTCCATGCCAACTTTTTGGTTTGGACAGAACCAGATGCCAGCGTCTCCAGAATCGTTTGTTATTCAGGAGAAGCAAATTTGAATGTTTATTGTTTGAAATTTTCTTTGTAGTCTTTCAAGGAGAGATGAGCCAACTTTAAAAGGCCAGGAGAGAGCATTTTGTCATCTTCTATTTTGAGACCCTATTGTCAGAATCCAGTAGTAGTGTTCTGCATAGAGAAGTGCGGATAGTTAACCTGGAATGACCCTGAAGATGAGCAAATGTGATTTTGCTAGAGGTGGAACCAGCTTTCCAGGCAAAATAAGTAGTTTGGATGATTGCCTTGACAAGGATAAAACCGAAGTTACTTGCGGAATGGCTAAACCTTCTCCCATCGTGACCTGAAGCTTTATTCGGATTTGGTCATTTTTTTAGGGACCTGGATACACAAAATGGCAAGAGATGTCTATATGAGTTATGACATAGTGTGGACATGCAGGTGGTATAGAAGACACTTGTTCAGATCAGGATGGCCCTTGGATGTGCTCCTTGTCTGGCTGTTTTCCTCCTCCCTGCTTTCTTGCTGATCGTCGCTCTGTGCCCTGGGAACTATCCTGGTCAGAAGCGGCGAAACGGTGCTGTGAGATCGGTAGTAGATAACTATATCAGCAATGATGTCTGATGGAGAGGAAAGGTATACTAAATGAAAAAAGTTCTGTCAGTCGCCTGCATGTGTTAATACTTTGAGACTATAACACAGGCTTCATTACATTGAAATGCATTGCAGATCACGGGCATCAGTCTTCTTCCTGTAAAATCATTTTGCAGTGTACTTTTTTTTGCACTGTGCTTTCTACGTGTACAATGAACCAAGACTGATGTGATCAGGAGACCTTTTACTAACATCCAAACCACTCTCTGAGCAGATGTACCGTCATCATTGGGTCTTATTTGCACATCTGCTTTTTTCTTTGCATGTGCACCCCCAATAATTTATTGCTTATTTAAAGGTGAGGTGGACAATGAATTTTAAGGAAAGGGGCAAGATTCTTGTATAAAAGTGTTTTCTATGGCAATCTTTTTAAAGAGAGTTTGAAGAACATATGCCGCTCTCTTCTATCTGATGTCTTTATAAGGTAAAAATAATTGTATTTTGGAAATGCTTTGTCGTCTTATGTGATTCATGGTCCCACTACTTATATCTCTTGCTTTATTTCATCTTCCGTGGGCAATTGTGATGGAAAAGTGAAATCATTGTGTCTTCCCCTTATTTTCTGAAATGTTTGGAAGGAGAAGCGAGATAATTGCTTACTTCCTTCACCACTGTGGCGATGATGATGATGATGCATAGTGATGTGGCATCCTGATGTACTGTGATGTTTGTACCATGTCGAGGCTTCTATAATCTTGCAATGCTGATTCTTATGATTTTTGTTGTCAATGTTAAAAAGGTAATAAAGTAGAAGTGGCCTAGACTACTGCCACTTTTTTCTTGTTGAAGATGGTGGTCCTGTGTGATAGCTAAACAAAAACAGGTGATTTGTTTTGCTTTCATATTTGTTTTTATTATATTTATTTTCAGGTTTTTCATCAGGAAGTGTTACTTTATTTCGTTAAGTCACTTCAAGCTGTCCTAGGACAATGTGGGGCCTCTTATCTGAAGCAGCTGCTTAAATTAATGGTCTGTGGTTTTTACCACTAGTGTTGGAGAGAGGCTGTAATGTGCAACCACTGCCAGCCCCTGGCTAGCAGCCAGGTTTGTTGACATGCAAAAGCCTGTCCGGAGGAAAGGGATGCAGACCAGTGCACGGAGGCTGGCTCTCTGTGCAGCTCTGCTGTGCTACACCAGGTTGGGATTGTTTTTCGCTGTGAATTTTGTATGCTCTGTCTTCTGTATGCGCTTAAATGTTGTTTCAAGTTTTTTTTTTTCCCCCCCCTCTGCTACTGATTTTATTGTTGTTGCTGGAATGTATTGCAGTATGTGAGCCACCGGGATGGCAGTAATAAATCATTAGCCAGGCCAAACCTTGCTCTGTTTTGTTAGTGTCACTTTGTTATAACTCTGCTTGCACTTACATCATTGAACTGAACTGAAAGACCGATGAGCAGTATGTTTCCATAGGTCTAGTTGGATATCCTACTTGGTAGCCATTTAAAAAAAAAAAGTAAAAACATAAAGGGGAATTGATGACTACTTTTAATCATTTTAAAGTTTCCTGAACCTCAGTTCTATTTATTTCCCGAGCAGGGCTGCAGTCAAACAAAGAAGAGCACTAAAAGAAAAAAAAAAAAAAAGCACCCAGACAGGATGGGAAAGATGCAGATTTGTCCATAAATAGCCCTTGCATCCTCAGGAAACTGATTGGGTAATCATATGTTTTCCTCGATCACTGGCACAACGGTAAATCTCTGCCAGTGGAGAGAATGGCTCTAAGGCAGATGGAAGGGTTTTGCCACCAAGATTACGAGCCTGTTCATTCCTTGATGCTTAAGGTGCATATGTGACAAATATGAACCTGAAAGCAGGAGGGAATAAAGTTACTTCAGTAAGGGAAGTATGTGGTGGATCTAGGAAATCTCAGAGCTACCAAAATAGCTCACAGTGGCGTCTACCAAAGAGCAGATACTGCTGCTCCTTCTGACAAGTGATAATCAAAATTTGACATTCAAAGCATATGATAATCATCTGACGAATGGAAAGTGTTGTATGAAATGCTGCAAATGTAAAGCAAGTGGGAGCCTGTAATCCCATTTGTATTTGCAGGGGGAGTGCTTTAAGCTGTGTTGTTGATAATAAAATTCCCACATACATGGGGTAGGAAATAGTGATTCTGAACTCTACCTGTGCTAAGCATGTGTACGATAACATATGGAGCGTATACTAAAACGCCAAAGACATGTAAGGATGTACATTTTGACACATGCACCCCCTCTTGCAGTAGGTACTAGCCAGATCTACACCTACATAGCACTACAGACTTGCGAGGCAAGATGCAAAATGTTATCACAAGGTATTAAAAATTCTTCTTGTGTTAATAAAAAGGATTTTTGAAATAACAGCCACTTCTTATCATGATTATAATCCGCTAGCTTATGTTAGGCTTTCCTGTTCTGACATGAGGAGGAACCTTTTCCAAGAGTGTGGTTAGTGAGTTGAAGTCACTTGACCTCTGTTCAGGTTTATTTCCTTTGGGTGTGAGGTGGAAGCTTTATATGTTGCACCATAGTCATGCACCAAAGAAAAAAGGTTGATGTCAGTCTGTGCGTATCTTTTAAGTTAATGAGCTTATACTTTCTAATGCCTGCAAGCTATGTGACTATGTCTCTTCTAAAAGTTGAGATTTAAGTCCCTGGTTTCTTGGGAGGATTAGCTGGATTTTGCAGTCCAGGACTCCTGAAAGTCTTGTTTGATGTAACGCTTGAAGTCACTTAGGTGTAGCTGCAGGTGTATTTTCTGAAAGTGCGCCTGCCCTAAGACTGGAGGCAAATTATTAAATTTAGTTTTAAAGTTGTAATACGAGCTGCAAGTCACTTTGTGGGGGTGGCTATCCGAGGGTGGAGAGTGTGGTACACTGCTAAAGTAAACCTGATGTTCTTTTGGATGCTTTTTACCTCTCATATCTATGAATATAAAAATGTTTGCCTTCAGTAATTAAAAGCTAAGAGTTGGTCTTTTTTGCCTGGGTCCATTTGTATTTTGTCTAGGATTATATCATATTTTGAAGCATTTGGTATCATTCCCTAAACTGAACCATTTTTGTGAGGTGATGTTTTTATAGGGATTACACTTACATTTGTATTCATCATAAAAAAAACCTAAGCTAACTGGTTTTTGCTTTGTCTCTTGGATTGCTTATTTCTTTTTACAAGGACTATTTCAGGAGGTTAGTGCTTCTTTGGAGCAATGACTGATACAGTCTCATCTTTAGTGTTTTAAAAATCTGCAAAACGTATTGGAGTGATATCTTCAGAGTGATGTGGCATAACTGCTTTATAGATTGTTTGGCAGTTAATAACATGGCAGGTTCAAAATGGCTTAATTAGTTCTAGTTGCATTACCTTGTAAGATTTTACTTGAACTTTTTTTTTTTTAATTTTAAAAATAGCAGTACTGCTTATAGTAGTCATGTGTAGAGCTTATGCAAAGAGCCTTTTTTAATACTTCCATAAATCTGGTAAACAAATATATTGGATGTTTTCACTGTTTATTTGTATGTATATTGTTTTTAAGCTGACTTTGCATCTTTAAATATCTGCTAAACTGTGGATGCTGGTTGAATCTGGAGTTACTCTGCATCTTGCCAAGCATGGGAGAAAATTCTTTGAGAAATCTTGATCATTCTAAAGTCAGTCTAATATTTCTGTCTTTTTACACCCGGTGCTGTAATAGCTGGTATAATAAGTAAGTGTCATGTTGGGGCTTAACTTTTATGACAGTTTATAAATTATCCATTCCTGGGGCAATCTTAGAACAGTATAGCAAAGTTTAAAACTATCGAGCTTTGGAAGTTGTGAATCTAATCACAACAGCGTATGTTTAAAGGAGGAGGTTTACCTGGACTGAGAAAAGAGAAAGGGACTGCAGCATGAGTCAAGGAAGCGTTTTGGACCTTGTAGTGAATTCAGATCCAGAGTTTTTTCCAATCACCTTGCTGCGCATCAGACATGAAGGGTTACACAACGTGTAAGGCAGGTAGTGAATAACATCTTGGTTATCATGAACGTGAACCGCAAATGTGACCCTTGCAAAAAAGGAGTGTAACGCTGAAGGTCTGGGTATTAGTTATTCTTCGGTGTATACCTAGTTCTGGGCACCACCTTTAAGAGCATGTACACAAACTGGAGAAGGCCTCAAAGAGAGGAACAGTAGTAAGAGGTGCAGGAAACTAGACTTCCAAGGAAAGACTGAAAGATGGGATTTGTTTTGAATGGAAAAAAGTAGGCTATGAGAAGAGTATGC